CTCCTGCTCAGCACCTCTCAGCTTAGGCAACTCCAAAGTGGAAGAGTGTCCAACCCCTCTGGAGGAGACTGGTTCTAGAGGCCGAGCGGTGCTTTGAGGTGAGTCCAACTATATCTACTCGGAACCTCTCAACCTCACACACCAGCTAAGACTCCTTTTCCACCAGAGAGGTGACATTCCACGTCCCTAGAGCCAGCTTCTGTAGTCGAGGGTCGGACCAACAAACAACAACAAAAATATTTCAGTAATTTTAGACTCTGCAGATTCACAGTAAATCAGTTCTTACGATTTGTCATTGATGACGGTGTTGATTGCATCTCTGAGGTCTTCGGCTGTCATGAAGTTTAAGCTCACAACAGCTGCAGCTCCTTTGGCTTTAATATGTGCCATGTTGTCTGGCTGGTCAGCAAACGTTGGGATTCCCACCATGGGAACACCGTGGTAGATGGCCTCAAAAACTCCATTTGCTCCACCGTGAGTGATGAAAGCTCTGGTTTTAGGGTGACCTGATGTAAGCAAGGGTTAATAATTAATGTCTGATTTGTTTGACAAAATGATACAGCTGAAAAAAAATTGTGTAAATGAGATTGTTTTTATTACACACATGGAATGGTAAATGATAAATGGACTGAACTTATAGAGAGCTTTATGAAGTCCCTCCAGACCTCAAAGCGCTTTACACTTACAGACATTGACACATTCACATGAATTGAAACAGCGGCACTCTAGCATCTTTTGGTGTTTAAATACTGTACAAATATCTGGTATTTAGCCTTCCATTCATGTATAAATCTGTCAGATGTTTAAATTAACTCACCCAGAAGATCATTTTGTGGAATCCACTCGTAAAGTTTAGTGTTGGAACCTAATGTTTCTGGTTTCTTGCCGCTGTATCTCCACAGAACCTACAAACAGTAAAARGATAATGATAATTCTGACAGTTATTTTGTTTAAAAAGGCAAAAATTTGTGAAATGAAAAGTCATTAATTTGTGATTTGATGTGACATTCTGAAGATTTACCAATGCAGTTTTTTTTATAACAATTTGTGGAAATCATCTAAAATCAAATACAGAGATGAGTCCAACTTTACTACCTTAAAGTGACTCTGCAATAATTTATAGTTTATCTGTTAAATGCAACTTTAAGAATATTTGAACTAATRGACCTCCTATTYGGTGATTTTRCCTGACCTTTTGTGGAATCTGAGCYAGAGCTGAAGCTATCATGTTTGCCTTCTCTGTGGTCATGTTTTTGACCATTGATCCCAAAGAGAAGATCACGATGCCATCATCTCCAGAGCTTTGGACAAATTTTTCCATGTCCTGCAAGAATGAAATGTTTTCAAAACCACTGAGCCAAATAGATATTTTTTCTTGCATAGCATACACT